ACCCCCAAACTAGAGTTTATATGATAAAAGGTAGGAACCATAGTATGTTTTTATGTTTAGGATTGCACTGGAAAAAAAACAGAGGTAGCTGTGATAACTGGTGTTCAGAACAACGACACCCTGATGCATATTAATTTCCTGCTCTTGGGGACTGACCCTTTGTAGGAAGGAGCCACCTTGAAACTCAGGTTATCTGGATAGCCAGGACAAGGGATTCCAGCTCAAGCAGTGAAAATACAGACAGATTACAGCTTTAACCTTCAATTCTGGGCAGAGTACATGAAATGGAAAACTGCATTAGTGATGGAGACTGATGAAGTTGGTTTGTCTGTAGCCCACACAGACTCTGCAAGCATGCTATCCCCACACCATTCTCCCCACAACCTCTTACAGAGCACTTTCTTTAGTTTATACTTCTGAAACTGCAAAGGACATTATCTTCAGCTGTTGCAGAAAGGAGAAGGGGGATTGTAAATTGTAATGAGCTTTCCGATGTGCATGCACTGGGCAGTTTGAGCCATTTGAATCAAGTAGCATTACATGATCATCCTTTCTTTTTCCCTGCCAAAATCTGTCAGTGCTCAGGATGCCAGTGCTTGAGTGGAAAAGAAAAAAAAATGGAGGGGGAATGTGTGTGCCTTTGTTTCCTCCTAATGTGTCTGTTCCTTCTGCTTGCTTACGGTGAGGAGCATGCACATCTGACAGCATCAATATGACCTTTTCCCTATGTGCAGGCAAAGGGAACAGATGCATCAGAAGGAAATGGGGTCTCTTTTCCATTTAAACAATGCTCTCCTGGATACTACCATAAATTAATTTAAAAAAAATATATGCCCCCTTGTGCAGTTTGCCTGTGTATGGGGTCACAACACCCTAAGCACTGTTTGAAAGGATATGCCTGATTTAGGCAGAAGGAGGCCACCTATAGCAGCATCATAGTTATGACAGCGCTGAGCACACCAGTTTTTGATGGTAAGAATCTCCTTACTCTGCTTGTAGCTTTCTGTTATCAAACCAATTGAGCAAGTCAGGTGTAGAAATGAGATTTTGGTTTAGTTTTGTTTGCCTGCTCTTTTTGTGCAGAGCTTCATGCAGCGAACAACAACAGAAGATACATTTAGCCATTTTATATTCTTTTCTTCAGAATGTCTGGGGATTTTCCCAGTGTTCATTTGATGGCATTAAAAATGAATGTGATGACTAAATGGTTTACAATTTTACATATTCAGTTAACGTGAAAACAATTACTAATGTGTATAATTATCTCCAGAATTACTTGGATCATGCAAATGGCACTCAACTCAACCGTTTTAAACTGTTTTCCAGGGAATGTCTCCTTACATAATTCACAGTGAGAATAGTATCCTACAATCTGAGCTCAATATTACTGTCCTTTCAGAATTTACTTCACAGATTCTCCTTCTGAAGAGTGATAACTTTTTACTGAAATAAGTTTTCAGAGTGCTTCCAGATCTCGGAGGGAGACTGAGTATTGAATACAGCTTAACTCTATCACTTTAATGTGACTCTCAGATGTAACAACACTGGAATCAATTCTCAATCCATTATCCTCTGAATTAAGAGGACCATACTGAGACCAGTGAGCAGTTTGACCACACATGACTGTGCTCTAGCCAGTGAGAGAAAGAACAGAAAAAAATGATCAAGCATAAAAAAAGAAAAAGGAACTTAGAATAAAATGCAGTAAAGGTAGATTTGTGGTGAAGGTCAAGAGGCAGAGAGGAGTGTGGTTCATGGGTAATGTTAAAGAAAGTGACTGTTCGGTGAAAGAAGGAATGGGGATGAGGTACAATCTGGATGGTGTAGTAAACACAAGAATGAAGTTCTGCCTGAAGCCTTGGTGCAAAAACTGTCACAGTTTTTTAATAACTATGAGAAGAAGCTGAAGCATAAGATGCATTCCACTTTCCATATTTTCCTTCCTTGCAATGGTTAATAAAGGCTGCTTGGCTGTGGCTGCAGGGAAGAAGCACCACAGATGCAATTTTCAGCTACATCCAATTTTCTGGCAAGATGGGGGGCAGTGATCTCACTGACAAAGTGATTGTGGTGGGCTGACCCCAGCCAGCAGCTAAGCACCCACGCAATGGATCTCCCAAGCCCCTCTACCCCCAGCAAGATGGGACAGAGAATGCAAAGAGCAAAAGTAAAATTCATTAGGTAAGACACAGAGAGTTTAAAAAATGATCAAAAGAGAAAAAAAAACCCAACAAGCTTATCACTGATCAGCTCCTGCAAGGACACCAATGCCCAGGCAATCTCTGAGCAACCACCACCAAAGAAATCAATCCCTCCTCCTTTTTCTGCTGCCTCAGTCTGCATTGCTGAGCACAATGTCCTGTGGTGTTGAATAGCCCTGTGGCCAGTTCAGATGAGTTGTCCTGCCTGTGTCCTCTTCTAATGTCATCCCCATCCCTAGCCTACTCACTGTGGGGCAGAGTGGGAAAGAGAGAAAGCCTCAGTGCCGGGCAAGCATAACACAGTAGTCAAAACACCATGTGTTTTATCTACAAGTCCAGAACACAGCAACATATGGGCTGCTGTGAGGAAAGTTCATCCCAGCATGGTATAGAATCCCATTGTACCCAAGTAAGGCAAGCAGAACAGGGCCAGTAGTCAGGTCAAGTCAGAGTTACTTCAGCAAGGTACACAACCAGGCACAGGTTTAAAATGTTGGAAAAAAGCCAAGAGAAAGACCACCAAGGCATGATTTGTTACCATAGCTGGGGACATCAATGCAATTTCCCTTTTTATTCTCCCAAACTAGACACCATTATGCTGGACTGCTAGATTATCAGCAGACTCAAAAGCAACAACAGATGACTCCGTTCTATACCAGGTAAATCATCTGGAGACACCAGTCAGTGAGAACAGGCCACACAGAACACTTTTTCATGTAACAGATATTTTATTTAGCCACAGGAGTCCAGTAATCAGAAGGAAAAACAAGGTACTTCTTGTCTCACCTACAGCTTTGCTGAGTTTTCCCAAAAACTTTGGTAGATCCAGCTTACCCAAACTCCTTCTGGTGAAAGAAGTGCACATGCCTTCTCTGCAGACCCTGCTTCTCCCTTGTTTACCTCAAAACTCTTCTGAAGTACTGGAGCTTTATCTAAGCTTTTTCACTTTGAGGAACCCTGGCCCTCTTATCAGGTACATATGCTGCATTCTGCCTGGATAAGGCTTTGAAAAGCTGCTGGTTTTGAGAGCTATTCACCCATTTGAGAATCTGTCACTTTGCATTTAATCTGTTGCATTGCACTGTAGCTCTACCTGAAAGTTTTTGAAAATCACAGGCTGAGGAGACTGTATTGTATGATCAGGAGTGGACCTGGTAGCAGTTGAGGAAGCCAAAAGGGTAGGATTTTCAGCAGACTTCAGGATTTGCTGCAGGTCCCCTGGTAACCTTCCACTTTTTAAATCAGGCAGAAAAGATTCTGGAACCGTTGGGAGTTTTCAACAAAGGTTTTCTATGGAAATGTAAAGGAAAAAAACCTTTATTCAGGACTGACAAATTAGGTTTAAGCATTTTCATTCAAATAAATGCCATCAATCTGAAAAATTGTTAGCATTACTTCATAGGTGTCACTTTTTAACCCTCCCAAATCAAGTTCTGACCTTTTTGAATCCAGGGACCATGAAACTTCTATAGCAGAGATTGCCAGACTAAAAATGATGGCAATTTATGGAGCTATGAAGGAAGAAGTGTACCCTTGTGTGTCTCCTGGGAGAAATCTGGCCTCAAGCTGTTGGGATGCAGCAAATGGCAGTGGGGCCTTTGGCAAAAGGGTTAGAGACCTTCTGCACTGAGCAGAACAGGCAAAATGCAATAATGAAAAAAACTTTTACATAGTGAAGATAAAACAGAGATTCCCAGAACGGATGTGGCCTAAGTATATAATCCATCTAATGGAGAAAATATATACTCCAGCACAAGTTTGTATATACATACATGAGCATATGTGGAACTGATTAAACACAGCTCAGATCATTTATTCTAGTTTTGCTTTGTTATATATGTGCAAATTGAAAAAATATGGCATCTGATAATAAATCAACAAGCAACTGAAAGTGACCAGACATCTAAGGTTTTCTGAACGATAATAAAATATTTTCCCCTCTGAGAAGGCAGCTGATCCTTCAGTAAAGGACTAGAATCTGAATTCCAGATTCATTTATAGGACCACAGTAACTTGTATTTCCATGGTTAAAATGGACCTAAGGGATAACAGCTGCAGCTCCAGTCCTGATGGGAGAGTGACATAAGGTAGAAGTTTTGAAATCTGTGGCCTGTTATGCTGTCACTCACTCTAAAGTACCACAACTCAACGAGCTGCTTGTGGTTTTGGAATGAAGTAAGAAAGGTGAAGTTGCGAGAATAATGAGTGTTTTCACATAAATTAATTTATCATATATATTCAGTATAAGTAAACAAAGAAGGATTCTGCTGAAATATGCTACCACAATATTTCAATCATACCTGTTTCATGCCATGAATACTTTTTATTTGAATGAGTTTATTTCCTTGCTATCTAAGATCACTAGTACAAAAATCCTGTAAAGGATTTTACTTCTTCCCTTTCCTCCCTTCAGTACTAGCCAGAAGAAGTTGTTAGACCTTCAGAGAGAGCAACTTATTGGTGACAGTGAGTTGTTGTTACTGAGACACTTTGAGGAAAATGAGTACTCACGCTGAGAGAGGGAGAGCTGAGAAAAATCTTAATGAAACCTCAGGGCATGACTCTTAGGTCAAAGACTAGAGTAAGACTGATGTGTCTGCCTTCAACAGAAGACAAAAAAACAGTAGCTTTTGAAGGATGGCTTTTTTTGGTCTGCAAAAGCCAAACAATGCTACAGACCTTTACAGTCAAGCTGAAAACTCTGCAGTCTCCCCAGCTCAGCAAAGTCCTGACACAGTTTTATTTCTGCCAAGAGCAAGTAATGACACACTGCAGCTGGATTTCCTGGATGTTCACAGTTCAGTGGGCTATCCCTGCTATGAAACACAACATGTCCAAGCAGCACATTGTTGTTAAAGCTACAAAAATTTCATTGTATGGAAGTAGTTTATGGTCTTTATCCAGGTGGTAGTTTTGGATGTAATATACTCTGAATACGTGATGAGGCATAAAGCACACTAAGGTTACCAAGATGAAGAAGAAGCTCTTTGCTTGAGCCCTGAATTCCACATGGGAGTTGACGTCAGGCCAGTACTTCACAGCCAGTCGATAGATCACAGACAGCTGGATTACAGTGAGCACAGCACAAACTGCCACCAAAATCCCAATGAAGCAGTAGTTTAAGATCAGCATGTGCATCTCTTGTATCTCCGCTTGGAACTGGAAGCATTTGGAGGGGTGGTATGTCTTAGAGGTGCCATAATACGAAAGAAGGATGGGTGTGATCACCAGCATTCCCACCAGCCAGACAGCAGTCACCCAGGCTACGGTGTAGCACTTCCGAAATTCCAGTCGGAAGAGGCGTATTAAGATGATAGCCACGTAAAACGTGAAGGTGGAGTACATGTGGAGGTAGATGATAGCGCTTGTCAGCTTGCAGGCAAACCTCCCAAATTTCCATTCCCCTAAAATGTAGTAGCTGAGGCGGAAGGGGATGCTGAGTAGCATGAAGGTGTGCAGGACCAGGAGGCTGATGATGATAGTGGTCATCACAGACTGCTGTCTCCTTTGAAACAACTGGTGGGACATCATGATGACCCCGAGGGTTCCGCCAGCCAGGTTGATGATGTACAGGGCTATGAGAATGATGTTGAGCTCCTCTGAGGTGTTTGGCGGCATCACGCTGGAGGAATGGTTCAGCTGGGCTGTGCTGCTGTTAGGCATCTTCCTAAGCTCCTCTGTTGACAGTTACTGAAAGTGAAAAATGGGAATTTTTTTAATAGACACATTTTCTCTGTTGCTTCCTTTATTGTTAACTATGAAATGTCGCAGACTCACAAAGGAATTTTTACTTAACTGTGTTTGAAATGGTGTTATCCCATGTAGTATATAACCTTGAAACTGTTGACAGTAGTAACCCATACTTCTCAGTGTTAATGTTTTCTAAAATTATGAATGAGTTTTTAATTTGCTAAACTGTATTCTAGGATTTAATTTTTTTTTCAGTTATTTGCCTCTAGATTCAACCATTTGAAATGGCCAAAACACTGCCGGTTTGTAAATTACATCAGTTTAATCTGTACTCATGTAATAAAGCTAAAATGGAAGGTGGGAAAAATACTGAAATGTGAAAAGGTTGTACTTATATTTTATGGATCCACCTGCACCCATCTTTTTAACATCTTGCTGGATGTGTGCAGGACACACCTAAAGCAGCAGCAACAAGTTCAGTTTCTAGATGCATAGAGCACATTGAAAATAAAAATCTGCAGATGAAAATTCTATTTCTTTTTGCCACTTTCTATTTCTTTTTGCCACAGAATTTCACCTGAGCTACTCTGTTATGAGAAGTCAAGAAAAGCTAAAATTAATTTAGGACTAATTTTCTGAATGGCATAGTCCTATTGGCAACTTGTTGAACATAGCCACATACAATTGCATTCTTATTTAGACTTAAGGCTAAATGTGGACTGCTCAGTTTTTTGGGCTTGCATACAGATTTCTGTACAAGTATATGGGGATAACATGCAGGATACATGAATGTTATGCTAATGAAATCTGTCCTTACCTTACAAAGAGTTTCAAAAGAACACAGAGCTGAGAAATGGTCTCTTAAATAAGCAGTGTCTTCTCTCTCTGATTCCTTTGAAGTCTGAAATGAGTAAACTTGTTCCACTCAGCAATTCTTAATTCTGTCACACTCCTCTGCAAAATTATAGACAGCAACTGAAAAACACTTTCAGATGAAGTTCTTATTTATGAAGCACCAGGCAAAGCATCTTTAGAAGGTTGTTGGGGTGTTGTTTCCAAGACTGATATAAACATTTCTATTCAATCCCTTTTAAAATGCATGATCTTAGAAGCATTTAAATGGTTAAAATTTTATTCTTGCCAAATATTCCTGAGACTAGCACAAAAAGTTTGCTTTCTCAGAAATTTTGCTATAAGAAAAGTGTTACAAGGTTTAGAAAAACAACTTCCTGCTATTGACACAAAATGTTTATTTTTTATATTTCAAACTGGCCTTAAGAAGGCACAATCTTTCTGTTGTTTCTGTTGTTGAATAATTACAGCCTAGACGCCAGCATTCTATATTACTCAGAAATATACTATGGTGTTTTATTCTATTTATAGAAATAAAACTTAAATTTTACCTTATAATCTCTTATTTTTGCAACTTCCCCCTTCTTTGCCATTTCACATGTCTATAACACACAACATACACAACTAGCATGTAAAAAAGAGCCTTTGGTGCTCCTGTTTGACTGAGAACAGTTGAGGGTTTTGTCAGACCACATACAGGAAGACACAAGCCTTTTTTCTTGCTTCACTAAGATTGCGATCGCGTACATTCAACATCTAATACTGTTCTGCTCATGCAGAGAGAAAAGCTGATAAGCTGTCAGAGACCACTGTTGTGCTCAGGTACATAGGACAGACTCAGGACTAAGTCTGCCCACAGTTTTGTCAGTCTTAAAGCTCAGATGAGCTATAAGTCCCTAAGATGTACATCTACATTATTGGGGCTTGCTACTAAGGCATTAAGAAATGCCACCAATAAAGTGAAGAAATATGCAGCTGGGCAGAGGATTTTTCATTATAAATACACTTCCCCCCAGAATTTGTTTTATATTTAATAATTACACCAAAAGCACCAGAATAACAAAGTGTTTAGCATTGTTAACAAAAGATTTCACTCTAACATGCTAACAGTTCTTAAAGAATTCTGAGATTACTCACTGTTTGAATATTTTAAGTGAAGTAAGCTTCAGACATGTATGAAAAGAGACTTAAGTGTTTCTGCTGCTAAAAAAAGACGTGCAGAGGCCAGTGATACTTGAAGATTATGCCCGACATGCAGGCATGAATGTTGACCTCAAAGCATTTGATTAGTACACGGTAGCTCACTGGAAAGAGGAAAGCATTGAGTCAGGGCTCTTCTAGAGACATTAAAAAGCAGATTCTTGACTAGAAATGACACAGAATAATGTTAGCCTGGTTTCTTTTCAATTAGAGTTTTAGGTAGCAGTCAGAGACATCAGTACTCAGACCACAAAAGGACAACACACAGAGTTTTGTGAGCAACGACATGAACACAGTATTCCAGCAGGGCTGAACTAGCATTGCTCCTGCTGTCGGGTAGTCATCTTCTGCTGTGGATGTAAGGATGGCTCCCTCCAAGACACCTTTCTCCTATTATTAAGTACAGTCATTAGGAAGAACAAGATGGGAAAGAGAACTATTAGAAGTAAATGCACAGCATCAAAAAAAACAAAGGTGCAAGAGAAACTGAAAGGGTTCTGAGGGTGAGCAAAAACTAGGAGACCGTCTCTGAAACGTTCTCAGGATAAACCCTGAAATCTTTGAGGGAGCAGTTACCATCTCATCCAGACCAGGATTCAGAATGGGAGGGATGCCTGTTTTGGATGTCGCATACACTCCATGGGCTTGGGGTAAGAAAAATGAGCAATTTCTCTGAAGGAAAACAGCTACATGAAGAATGGTACTCACCAGATGTGGTTCCAGCATCACTTAATCCTACCTAAGGACAGGGTGCTGCCTGACATGGTAACAATGCTCTTTGGATGGCAAAATGATCAGCTGGGTCTGAAGAAATGCACAGGAAGGCAGGGAACAGCCTGGGTGTCAGACACAGATGGTTTCAATGGGATAGAATGATCATTAAATTACATCCACAGCCTCTGGGTAAAGCAGGGAAATGCCTGCAGCCTTGTATTCTGTTCACTGGACCTGAAGTGATCCAGAAAGCTTGAACCACCAAGTGATAATGCAGAAGAAACATGAAAAAAACGTGTTCTTGTGATGGCTTCTATGTGACAGCTGGCACTCCAGACAGCCAAAGCAGGTTATGAGATCAGGAGCTTTGTGCACTCTTTCACCTTGTTGAGTCCAATCTGAGCTCTTTGGTTGTAAAGCGATGGCAAAAAATCTGCAAAGATGTTGCATAGATAGTTGCACCTTGTCACCCTGGGGAGTGTGACACTGGCTGACACCAGAACTGCTGGAGATCAGTAACTGAACGTCTCAATTGATGTTTCATACCTCTGATTCACTTTGTACTTGAAATGTTCCTTGAAGGTTGTATGCTGAAGCTGTTCGGTGTCTTAACCTTTTGTCTCTTTGTTCTTCTAAAAAAAAAATTAAATTAAATTAAAAAAACATTCAACACAGCTCTGTAATCTAGGTCTGAAAGAGAAATGCATACATACACATCAGAGATCCAAGGTCAAGACTAACATCACAAATAGATTTTAAGGAAATAAAGAACTGGGCATGTCTGGTTCAACACTGGGGGAAACAGAAGACAAAGGAGAAAGGTCAAGATTTAAATTATTAAGAAGAGAAAAGGAAACAGAAGAGGAAGTGATAGCTGAGAGAAGAGGAACAAGGCCTATTGGGCATCCAGAGATGGGGTGAGGCTCTGTAGAAGCGTCACTAACTATGCCTATGCACGAGTGTAGCAGAGTACCTTTAAGGAGGGGCCAGATCTGCAGTGTAACTCTCTCTAAGTTCTTGCTTTCACTTAATTTCTGCATGATTTCCTGTGCTTTCTGTGTCACTTTGCAAGAAAATTTTGTGTTTACTAGTCAGTATAGTAACAACCAAGGTTTCACATAGAAGCTCAAGAACTTCTTTTTCTCTAGGAGCAATGATAAAAGTGTGCTACCTTGTGTTACTGGATAGGTTTCAATTTTAGCTAACTCCAACCTAGGGTCATACTTGCTGATAATTTCAATTATTTATTAATATTAAACCCTGTATTGCTAGCTACTTATCAGAACTGAGTAACATATAGGCTGGAGTCATAAACAACAGTAAGATAGAGAATACCTGTATTATGTTTTAACACACTGCTGGTTTTGGGATTGCAGATGCAATCACATTTCTCGCTGTCTCACTCCTGCCCTGTTAGACATGAGTCACAGATACTGGAAAGTGAGCAAATCATACTCCATGGTTAATGAACTTGCAGGATAATCCCTTTAATTTGGCAATCCCACCCACCTATGCAGCATGAAGAATTTAATATATTCAGTCAGTAAATGGTCAACAATGTTAGCAGGAGATTTGAGATTCTTGAACTAATCTTCTACTAATTTGATTGCAGATTTGCCGACACGCTTCTCAGTCTTTGTTTATCAGGATGGGAGAGGCTATATGTTTATTAGAAATAATAACATAGGGTTGCCTCGGTCCTAAAATACCTATTTAATATGTCTTAAAAGCAGACATTATGATTTGTGTAAGTAGAAGTAATATAGTCTGGATTTCTGTGGAGGAATATGGCAGAGTGTATCACAGGCAGACTATGTCTTGCCTTTTGACACAAAACCTTTATTTCTTGAGTTTGGTGCAAGAAGATGAGAATTATTATTACAAGATCAGGAACTTCTCATTATTCTCCTCTGTGGGTACATACCATTTTAGCAGTAATTTAGAAGATTTATGAAAGTTACACACTACTGTTTGGGCTAGTTGCCCTCCAACACAGGTAGAGGCAATAAAAATTGTTGCTGCTTTAGGTTATTTCAGAAAATTGACAACAAGGGATCTAAAGTGCTGTTGTATCTGTGAACAGCTGCAGAGAACTACATGTGAGCCAAGGATCTGGCTCTGACAGCATAACCTTTTCCTGGTTCCAAATACTTTCTGCTTGAATCCACTCCTGAACTCTGCTACCCATCCTCCTTACCAGTTCTCTT